TTTTTTTTTTTTTTTTTTTTTTGAGATGGGGTCTCATTCTGTCCCCCAGGCTGGAGTGCAGTGGAGCCACTTCAGCTCACTGTAACCTCCGCCTCCTGGGTTCAAGCAATTCTCCTGCTTCAGCCTCCTGAGTAGCTGGGATTATAGGTGTCAACCACAACTCCTGGCTAATTTTTGTATTTGTTGCAGAGACAGGGTTTTGCCAGGTTGGCCAGGCTCATCTTGAACTCCTGACCTGAAATGATCTGCCCTCCTAGGCCTCCCAAAATGCTGGGATTACAGGCTTGAATCACGAAGCCCATCATGTTCTAAATTTTTAATTGGAGAGATGGACATCAAAACTTTTCTCCCTCATGGCCTAGCCTCTTATGCTTTTGTGTTAAATTACCAAAAGTAATCACAGTTTTAGAGACATACAATAAAAATTCTAAGAGAATTGAATAGAAAGATTGCTCTGCAATGTTAGAATTACAGAGCACAATTGCTGCGATTAGAAAGGGTTAAAATGCCAAGGATCAGCCACAGCTCTGGACTGTATATGAAATAATCAAACAGCTAGAATCAAAAATATAAAAACAAGCCAAAATATTGAAGTAACTAGGTCATGCAAATGTGCTAATGACTGTCTGTCTCTGTGAGTGAGGTCAGCTCCACCAGAAGCTGCATGTTCCAGGAGGGTATCTGTGGTGAGTATTCTAATTCTATACAGAGTTGGACAGACAGTGGGGGCAGGGTCCTTTACATTTGACTTGGATGATCCTTCTAATGGCATTTTCTTGCCATGTGTGTTTTTATAAACCACTGAGTCTACAAGTCGCCTCGAACTTGCAGGTATCCTGTGTATGTTTTCTGTTGAGCATCACCATGATGCCCTTTACTGTAGGATTCTGCTTATATGAAATGAGAAAAATAGAAAAGGAAATGCCATTAGCATCATGGGAGGCCATTGCAGGAATACACCTGGGCAGAAGAGGAGATTTTGAGAATCATCTGCTTTAGAAACCAAGTAAACTACAATTAATAGAAGCTAAAATTACTGAGGCTTATCAGTGCTTCCAGGTGAGCTCCTGTATGTCACCAAACTCTAACAGCTTTGTGCCCCAAGCCTGTCACTAGCTAATTCTCTGTATTAAAATCTTTAATGTTTAGAATACCAGAATGGCTCATATTTTCCTGGCCAACCTCTGATACTACAGCAAATGTGCTTACCAAAATAGCTTCTCAGCAGCTGTGATGTCAAAGAAAGTCAGAATCTGTTACTTCTCAGTGTCTATAAAAGAAAACATAATCAGTTACTCATAAGACATACATCTATTCTCAGTGTGAGAGAGCTTTCCCTCAACAACATCCTTCAAATAAAGTTTAATAGTGCTGTTTTGTTAAACATTCTTCTATAGAGGGAGGTGGCGGGTAGTGGACAGGAGCGAGAGCTATACAATGCTGTCATGGCACTCAGCTCCATATTGATATAGATTGTTTTGATAATACATTTTAAATTATCTGACTTAACTGACAGTCTATTCTCCAAGAGGTTCTTTGCTTAGTTCAGTTTTAATAAATATCTATTGGTGCACAGTTACATTACATTGGAGAGCATATTAGTCTAGAATATATCATGTTGGGTAACCAGTTAAATACAGGTTTATAAAACTTAAAGACAATTCACCTAGATATAATACTATCTGTCTCTACTGAGTAACTAACAAGACTAATTTCCTGATTAGAGTCTCACCTTGGAAGTTATGAAGGTTCTCCTTTGAAAATTGTTTTTACATCCTCTCTACACAAGGATATTTCAGCAATCAGAACGTATTGATAAAATTTTTTTAAATATAAGTTTTAATAAATTTACTTATATGGATTTTCTTTCAAAAATGTGAATGCACATAAGGAGGGTAGTTTATATTATAATATTTTATATCAAAATTGACTTTATTAACTAAATTATATAAGTAGACATTCTTTGTGGATTGCCTCTATAAATTCCATGAAAAAGAAGGCAACTCTCTCGAAATCAACATTCTCATCTTTCTAATATTTATTGACCAGAATTCATCATCATCTGCAGAAATTCATATTGATGCTACCTAAAGCTTCTAAATACAAAAGGGTCATCATCGCATTTTTTAAAACTAACAATGTAAATGTATTCATTTATCTAAAAAATATTTATTGAACACCTACTATGTGTCCAACCTTGTGTTTAGGAGCTATGATACAGCAATTACCAACACAATACCTACTCTCATGATCTAGTGGTAGGAGCTAGAAAATAATCAAAATAGGTAGTATGTTAATGGGTAGTGGATGACATTAAAAAGTATGGAGGATAATGGAATAAGGAGTGATGGAGTGAGCATTGCAATTTTAAACAGGATTATTAGAGAAAGCCTGAATGATATTATAAGGTTTAGATGAGGAGAGACTAGGAGCAATGCAGATATATGGGAAAACATACCACTCAGAGAAAATAACTGGTAGAAAGGTTTGACAACCAACAAGGTCAGTGAACATGGTGCAGCATACAAAGGGGAAAGTAGGAAGGGAGCAGATTTAAGAAATAATCAGAGGCCAGATTCTGGAGTCTCCTAGGCATTGTAAGGATATTGGAATTTATTCCGAATGACCTGGGTAGCCACTGAAGGACTTAAGGCAGCTAAATGATATGATCTGATTCTCATTTTAACTAGATCACCCTGACTGCTAGGTAGAGAAACTAGGCAAATCAGAAGCTATTATTTCCAGGTACATCACTTTACATTTATGTCACTGAAATTCCTCTCTCACTTTTTCTTTCAGCATTTATCTGTTTGAGATCCCCCTAATGCATTATGTCCACCTGAAGAAGAGCTCTATCAACTAGCTTTGTATTTCACATTGTATTTCTTCCTCCAAGTTGATTATAAAGTGTTAAACAAGAATGGACTCAGAACTTAGAATCTTCCAATTAACACCTTTACATCCAAGTGCGTAATTGAGTGTTGAACATTTATTTTATGATTTTAGGTGATAAAATGAAGATACACAATCATACATTCATGCCCATTTACAATAGACTCTCATCTATATAAATCAAATGCACAAAGGAAAAAAGGCCAACCAGAAATGCCCTAAATGTCCACATGATTATTTCTTCCTTCTTTTTTTGACTTTCAGCATATTTTATTCATATGAAGAAATAAAAATTATTAGAAGTTGCAAGAAGTCATCCTCTACAAACACACTGTTGTATGTTGAGTTCTCTGAAAGCAAACACTAAAAAGTTTGGGGTGAAAGATACTTATTAGGGATCAAACCCTATGAAAGGAAAGGGGGGGAGCAAGATTGGGCATAAAGGTAATTCAAACTGTAGTTTAGGTCCCACAACCTCAGAAAACTTGGTGAGAATCCTGGAACAAAAATTGCCGATGAGAATATTATTCTTTAGACAAAAATATCCTGGCCTTTATATCCCCACTTTGATCAATAAATAACTGAATTCCTGGTCTCAAGTGAGACAGTTTTCTATAGTTGAAGGAGACCTGAGGTGCTGACAGCTGAAGTTTTCTGCTGACTAAACTCCTTTTTTAGTTCTTCCTTGAAGAGGGATACAAGTAACACACCGCTGTATTTTGCATATACACATGCCTGAGTCAGAATGTGTTGGCATTGTCTACCTAGCCTCTTACTCATCCTCCATTCTCTAATGAGAAAAATGAAACTGAGTTACGGATTCTTTGACAAAAGTAAAAGAAGAAAACAAGGATTATAACCAGTTAGGCATCTTTAGGAGGTATGGGAGGGATGAGAATAGGGATAATTTCATATGTTGTAATGATTAGTACAGGAAGGGAACTTTGAAATATCAAGGTATTGGGAACAGGGTTACAGTTAGAAGCATCGGAGTGTGGAGAATCTTGTTGGATATTTAGTGATGGCAGGGTTGTTGGGGGTTATTGCTGTCTTTGTACTTAGTTAACCTTAAAGGTTATCACACAGAGTTGTGAAGATTATAATTTCTACTGGGCTGTGCTTTAAATAGAACCCTATTCTGGAATTAGACATCGTGGGCTGTGAATGTATAAGCATTGCAGAACCAGACAGATGAGAGATAGATCGATAATTGTAAGGATAGAATATAGATATAGATGGATATAAACATAGGTTGAGAAGCAAATTTGCTTTACTTTCTGATCTTAAGGTAGTTCTTTATACATAAACAGCTGTCAGAATTTCATAATTTTTAAATTTAATAATCATGAATGTAGAAATCTCTCAAGTTCTATTTTCTGAGAATAAATGAAACCACCAGTCCGTCTTCATTATTATCTTTCTTGGAACCTTCAGTTATGGTTAAAAATATAACATTTTTTGATATTGTCTCTCTTCAAATAGATTTATATTATTTTTACAGTTTACTGGAAAATGTGTCAGCCATTAACATGAGATTCATCAGCAAAATTCTCTTAATACTGTTCAATTTTTAAACAGGTGGACAGTTGTGTGGGCTACAACTGCTGTACAGTTGAGTAAATAATTACAGCCATAAAAATGTGATCGAATCTACAGTTGGGAAATACTGGGTAAAAAATTTCTTTGTGAAGATGTCAAAAATAAATTAATGATAGAAGAGGAACTGTATACTAGACAACCTGTAAGTCTCTTTTTTAATTAATTGTTAACTTTCTATGATTTATACCTTAAACATACTTTCCAAGTTCAACATTTAAAGTTATTAGGGAATAATTATAAGCAAACTGTTATTTTTATAATTTTTTCTTTGGCATTAGTCCAGGTAACATTTCTCAGAATGGGTGCTGACAGCTCAGTCATAAGCTTTGTGGTCCCAAAGAAATATGCTCCTCAACCATAGCTTCCAACTATAATTCCTACTGACCATTTCGGAAATTGTAAATAATTCATATGGAAAATGGTTTAGTGGAATCTATACTCACTATTGGGGAAAAAAAAAGTCCCATGACTTAAGTCTTTGAGTCAATAGAATCTTGAATGATTTAATTATGGAAATTTTTGAACATATTTAAAAGTAGGAAAAATGGTACAATTAACAACCCTGTGCCTATCACTCAGTTTCAATGATGAACAACTGATGGTCATTTGTTCTTCCCATACCTCCAGACTGGCTCATTCACATGAATGACAAGTTGGGCTGAGGCCAGAGTCCTCAATTCTTTCCCACAGGGGGCTTTTTAATTGAGCTGATTGAACATATTTACAGTACACTGTCTGTATACTTGTTTGCTTCCTCTGTAGCAAACAATGCAGAAGGCCAAAAGGGAAGCCATAGTGCTTTTCAGGACATAGCCTCAAGTCACACATCCTCACTTCTGTTGTTCCAACCATGATTCAATGTGGTAAGGGGCTGACCAAACAAGAGTGTGAACACTGGAAAGGAAAGGTCATTGAAGGAAAAATTGATAGCTAGTTACTACAGGGTGTATGTGTTAAAGATAATAACTCTCTTTTAAAAATATAATTGCACATAAAACTTAATAAGACTTTAATATCACCAAGTATGTACATATAGTTTACATTTTCCCAATTGTCATTATGTTTTCATGGTTTATTCAAATCAGAATTAGTCATGCACTGCAATTGGTCAAGTCTCTTTCCATCTCTCTAATTTTTCTTTCCAAGCTGTTTGTTAGAGACAGTGAAGCATTTGTTTTAGAGTTTCCCAGTTTTTAGGTTGTATAGCTTTCGTCATGATAGAGCATTTGCTCATTAGAGGCTGGATAAATGCTTGATTAATTCCTTTTATTTACCAATTTTCAGAGATACTTCCTTAGCATCCTACATAAATCACCAGCAGAATTTGGCAAAATTCTATCATGGGTTCCTGGATTTAGGTATATTTGATGAGTTTCAATCCATTTTAGTTATTTTATTATTGATGATCAGATTATACCATCTTTGGCCAGTAAAAGTCCTTTTAAGTTGATCCTGGA